GTTGATCACTTTTATAACTTTTTCAGTTAAAAGTGTGTAAGGGAAATTTGTTCTTCATTCAGTAAGCTACAGACAGGGCAGATAGAGATAGTTTTCCCTTGCTGAAAGAGTTACTGGGAAAAGTACATAGTGAAGCCAGACATTTTAAACATGTTTAGATATGACACTTACTGAATCTGCTCCAGGTATTTTAGCAGGGTCACTAACGAGTCACTATTCTGTTAAGGAGGTGCTTAACCTTGCCAGATAGCTGCACAGAATGGGACCCTGAAATCTCCATATCTACAGAGAACAACTGAATCTACATAAATCATAGCAGCGGTAGTATCTGAATAAAGAGGTTTGTAGGTGACCCTGTAGGTCTGGCTTTGTCTGACTATAGGAGTGAGTGGGTGACTCAGCTCTGTGCAGTGGAGAGAGTGAGAGCGGGCCTGGCACGCTCTGCCCTGTGCTCTAAGGTAAAAATTCTCTCTCGCTCACTCACATGCTCTGCTGCAGTAAATGTAATTCTTACCAGGAAAAGATAGAACCAGTTTGGGTGTGGACGTTTTGTAATTACGCAGAGAGATGGGCAGTAGAATGATGTCTGAATGCTACCGTAAATGTCGCCCTTCCTGCCAGTCTGAGTCAGAGGCTTTTTGTCTTTCTGGCTTGCAACACTGCAGTGTTCATTTGCAAAGGTAAGATAAGGAGCAAAACATAAGCTACTGTTAATGCTACTTATGAACTAACTACACAATATGTAACTACTCCATAACATACGTAACAACATGGATAATACACCTGTGTGTTTGCTTGACCAAAGTTACTCATTTAACTATTTTGTGGTTAATCAAACTTCTGCTGAGCTCATCTCTTAACACTGGCTAACCTATCTAACGCTACTTCACTCTGTCTCTTCAATGCATGAAGGTCAAGGGCATCACGGAGAGAGTACAATCCACCACATCCAGGAGAACGGATCTCATCGGCTGATTGGTTGTCATGGCAATGTTAACAATGGCAAACTGATGGATGCAGTTGGTTAGTAACTTGGAAACCGAAAAACATCAGGATGAGAGTAGGGTCATGCACAGTTCGATAACGCAAAACTAAAAAGAGCAACAGTGAGGTCATGGTTTGACCAGTTTCATGCAAAAGGGAACCACATGTACATTTCAAGAACAAAATGACCACAACATAAATAATCTACAAAGCATTCCAACTGAAAGAACTGGTGACCAGCATCCTGCTTTCACTGCTCCAGTGCTGCATCAGTGAAGATAAAGAGACGCCAATGCTGGGCTGCCAGATGGCAGAATAACACAGTACACCCAGACAGCAGGGATCTTCCTCCCAGCACAACGGCTGCTTTCAGAAGCCCTGGCATACCCCCAGCTCTATGGTCTGCAGCAGCTGTAGAGGTACAGGGCTCTACAGTGACCCCTCACTTGTTCCAGTATGGCTGGGCACTGCTCTCAGTATGTGTACTTAACATTAGTCAAACCCAGCTCATACTCATACACCAGTAAAGGAAACAGTAGACAGCTAGCACCATACGGTACCATATTCACATATACACGCACGCACACACTGCCTACATGCCAGTTACAAGTGTGTAATATGTAATATTCCACAGACTATAATATACTGCCTTAAGATACATTGTATAACAGTGCAGACTGAGAACTACGGAGGTTATGATTAAATATGTGACAAAAACTGTCTCAAATTGCTCTACAAATAATTTTATCATGAAAGAAATGTAATTAAAATCAAAGTTTTGCATCTATTAATTAGGTTTTGAAGCGTAATTAATGTAAGCTTCATAAAAACGAGCTACATACAAAGCAGGCATGCTTGCAAGATTTATTTATTCCGAATACAAGTTTCTTCTGAATTTCTTCAGTATGATCTGCACTCCTGAACTCCTGTAAACCATCTGACCAAAGTATAGACTCTCTAAATGTACGCCGGGTTCCAGAACAATCCCCTTATACACATCAACAGTGTACTTCTTGTGTTTCAAAATGCAGTTCAGCCATGATAATGAGTTTCCACCAGATTCAAAACTTACGTAATTCATAAATTAGTTCTAAAGCACTATTCAAGCTGGATTAGTTTTACCATGGGAGGTTCTGTAATGTAATCTGTAAGGGATTTGACTGGCCGATTTGTATGGGATAAAGTATGTGTGTAAAGTATGTGTTCTCCAAATTGACACAGATAACCCAAACTAAATCTTTACAGCAGAGTTACACAAGAGAAGTCACGCTAACACAGTGTAGTTAAGCTTGGCCAAAAAACAGTGGGGGGAAGAAAAAAAAAAAAGTTTAGTAGGCCTGTCTTTGAGGATAAAGGAAATGTGCCAAGTGGTATTCCATCTTAACAGAAAATACTGCCAAAAAGAGGTGTTGTTGATCATTAGCAGGTGTTGCTACCACCAGATAGAGGGAAAAAATCTGTTTCTAGCAGCAGTATGTCAAAATATTGATTTGTGAATCGAATCTTAAAATAATGACATATTATCTCAAAATATTGACTTCAATACCTTCAAGAATACAAGCCATTGACTTCTCAAAATAATTACCTTATTCAATACTTTGAGACAGTGTCTCATAATAATGACAATTTCAACCCGTCATTATTTTAACATAGTAAGTCGTTATTTTGAGATATTAAAGTTAATATTTTGATATACTGCTGCCAGAAACAGAGCAGGGAGGGGAGGGGAAAAAATTGTCTCTTATTAGCAAGAATGGGCCTCCATATTTTTGCCATTACATGAGGTTAAGTAAACATGACCCTCTGGAATTATCAAGAATTATTAAAAATAAGAATGTTGCAAATTTGTACTGGATTCTAGAGAGTAATAGATTCTACCTCCCCAGGTAAAACTAGAATGGGGCTTAATAGGTCATTAAAATCTTCAAACACCAACTTGAGAAATACAGATGTGTTTGTGTTGCAGATGCATCTTATCTGCTCTCCATTAACTGACAAGCCCAAAATGTGTTTTGTCAGGATTGTCGGTGGAGGACAGAGTTGTCAGTGTGAGTGAGTCAGCAGCAGAGGTAGCATTAATGAGCACTGCTGGTGTGGTGAAGCGCTCACACCAGGCCAAACAAACTTAGAGCAAAACATACAGTGAGGTGCAATAACACAGGGAGCTACACAGACTAGCAGCACATGCAGTGCAGTTTAAAAAAGGTGAGGCTGGGAACAATGCAGAGGCAAGCTGAGCATCTGAAACACAGCATCTCTCCCTCCTGCAGAAGCCCCCCACAGCTATACTGTGGGACCACCAGTAGTGTTTTGAGAGCAGAAGGTTTAGCTGAAGCAGCCGAGGGGTGCTCAGCCAAAGACAGATATCGGAATTCATACTGATCTCTACAGGTTACAGCTGAGCCAAATCAATTATTAATGAAGTTTAGGAACATATGGATAACATCTAAGGTTTTATAAAATAAAAGAGATTTTCCTTTAAAGCATGTAGCACTGTTAACACTCATAACCATAGCTATTATATAACTAACAGTTTGCTCCAAGTAAGCTTTTAGCGCACTAGATTACTGTATGTTTTGATGAATATGCTTGTATTCTCTGGAGGTGGAGGATGGGATGGAATAAGCAGATTTCTGTAACAGTGGGCTCTGCAAGAGGAGTGCTTGTGTGGCTTTCCTAGATGCTCAGAATGCTCTAGTAACATCTAACGAAGCATTAATATAAACAAGCAACGCAAAAACTGAAATAGTTAAGGCAACAAAAACAACTATGTTTAAACTGTGATGCAATATGCCAGGACACTCAATCAGCTTTTAGTCCCTTAAAATTGTCAGCAGGCGGTTCAAAAGGACAGAGCAGCCCCATCTGAGAATATAGGATTGGCACCAAACCATCATTCAATGATGTTAATACTGCTACATCTAAAAACAATTTCAGTTATATGTGCAGTTAAAAGTCTCTAAATTAGCTTCAAGTATCTCATATATACAGCCATCTGGTTCAAAAATACTGAACAGCTTTAACAGATAACAGATTTAATTTCTGCACAATCAAATCATTAAGATGCAAAGAAAGTCATTTAGAGTAGTTTGATGTGAAACGCACAATTCTAGAGAAACTTACTGAGCCAAATTGTTCACAGTAGCGGTGATAGGAACTAGATATCTGAAGAGTTTGATTCTTCTAAAAGCTTCTACACAGAAAGCTGTTACATAAAATGGTTACGAATATACCTGATGTCTGAGACTTGTTTTACGATAGTTTTGAGATAAAGCTTTGGCCTAAAACACATTTTTTTAACCCCAATCATGGCAGAGAGGTACATGCAGGGTGTTCAAAGACAAAACAGTACTCAAGACTTATCACTATTTTACCATTATCAACATTACATATTAAAACTCAGAAGGCATATGCAGATTTACTGGTCATTTTGGATAGTAAATAAAATGGCTATATTTGTGTTGTAGACACTATGACCCCTGGTTGCCATCTCCACCATTATAAAGAAAATATGAGTAAGTTTTTCTACAATGAACCATTTCATATCAAACCACCCTGAATGACTTTCTTTACTTTATCAATATCTTAAAGACTGAATTATGCATAAATTTTGGAAAATCAGTGGAATTCCCCTTTAATTATGATGAAAGGGAAAATGAATGTGTAAAATCTACTCATTAAGAAACCAACGTTTTCTTTATGCAGCACAGAAACTCATTTCAGATAAAGCCTATTCTTGGCACAGCTGGTGAGTTCTATACTGACAGTCCTGCAATTCAATAAGCTTATCACAAAGAAATATGTAGAGGACCATCAGATGCTGCTGTGCTGGTAATAGGGAAAAGGACAGGGTCTTAATTTTTAGTAAAGTAAATTGCTCTCTTCTTCACACTACCCTTCTGGTTGCTATGCTTGCAGACCAGCAGATGACTGACGAAGGCAAAGGTGGGGCTGCTCTGTGCTGTGTTTGAATGCCACTGCTGTATGACTGGATGATGAAGTGGATGTGTACTTACCCCGCTCCACTCTATGCCCATACTCACTTCCTCTCCAGCTTCTGAGCTGCTATCGTACTTAACACTGGACATGCTGTCCCTGCTCCTCCTCCTTTCCCCATCACCCTCCTTCAGGATCTCAACAACTCGCGTCTGGTTGATAGGATCAGTTCCCTACAAGAGACACAAATGCATGTACACACAATATAGGTGACACACTGAACATTTTCAGTTTGTTTCCTCTCAATTCCTACTCTGGAGGGCTTTTCTAGAAGCTACATGTGATGCAATGTGCATTTCTATCACATGTCGAACCATGGAGGGAATTTATCTATAGTGTTACTACAAAGGAGGAGGGTGATGGATAAGGAACAGCTTATGACCGGTGAAGGACTCCTGTTTTAAAATGAACTGACTTACTGAGTTGCTCTGGCATCCAAAGCAAGCCAAAGAAGAAGGAGGTGAAAAAAGAAACAAACATCAGCATGACTGAGACAGTCATCAGAAATGTTCCTCTCCATTAGTTTCATAGTTAATGAAAAACATACGAAATATCAGTCAGAGCCATTTTTCAAACAATGTGTTATCAACTATCATAACTTTTATAAGTCACAGTCATTACTAGCGATAACAAAAGCATGTTGACGTTGAAACAAACAGACAAAAAGTCAGAGGGACAGACTCGATTCTGTTTATACAGAAGGTGAATAAAAACTAAGTAAGTAATTATGCAATTATATACTTATAAATTTGCGTTTAAACAATAATACTGAGTAAAAATATAAATGCAACACTTTTTGCTGAAAAGATTTTACCGAACCCTGCAAAAAACAGGTGGGTCATGAAATTTTCCCATTAGTATCTGGTAGGGGTGGGAATCTCTAGGCACCTCACGATTCGATTACGATTCAGAGGGCTGCGATGCGATTATAAAACTTATAAAAATTATAATCTCAATGCATCTTTTTTTTCTATGTAGCATTTATATTTTCTCACTGTGTGAGCTCAAGTTTCGAGTTCAAGTTTCAAGTTTATTTGTCACTTGCACAACATGTCAGGACATTTATGCATTGAAATGCTTGTGGTGAGGCACAGGTAATCACTCTACAGAAAGTAAATAAGTAAAAATACAAGAAAAACCAACTGAAATATATTAAATATACACAAAATATACACAGAATATAGAGACAATATATATTTTAAAGTGACTAAGTATCTCAGTGTTATTGTTATTTAAAGTGACATGGTACTTTTAAAGCAAAGTATTTGTAATGATCCATAATGAATTTACTTCCAATATCTTTTTTAATAAAACAGATGGAAGTGATGTGGCAAGTGAACTAGAAGGCTCTCATTCAGTGCTCTTGTTCGGAGCACGAGATGCTGCTGCTACTCGTCTGCGATAAAATGCGCAGTTACGGTGAAATAAGATCCAGTGTCAGTAGATGTCCACGCAGCACATCTTACAGCTATTCTACCCGTTTTCTTTAGTGATTTTATAACTTCGGTTTTGGTCTCGTTGTAGAGACGGGGGGTCGCTGTGTCAGTAAAGTATCTTTAAGACGGGACGCGTGAAACATAGCGCGAAAGCCCTGTTTCGGCGCACAGACTGAAGGTCACATAGCAGCGATGCGTTATTCGCATTTATAAGCACTGCAGTGGTTTCCTGGTACGTTAAATCTGCAACGAGAGACTGTCACACACTAAAAAGTGGCGAAGCTGAAGTCAGCTTCTCTTTCGAATTCTCCCATTCCACCTTAAACGGTGCCGCATTTACATTCGGCGCCTCAGTTAGAATTTAAGGTGGAACAGGTAAATTTGAACAAGAAGCTGGAGAATAAGAAGCGACTTCAGCCTCGTAAAACAGTCGAATGTTGAGAGACATTTAACTGATCAACTTCTGAGGAGAAAGTTTTCTGGCGGAGATGGGAGGAAAGCGGCTATAGTTAAAGCTTAAAGCAGAGCGAAGTAAATCTGTGCTCTCCTTTATATTGTTTAGCCTATACTAGGACATTAACACATACTGAGACATACTGGACATTCGATGCTGTGGCTCCCAAGGTGGTTTGATTTTTGTTGAAAGGACAAAATGGCTCCTATCATTTGTGTTGTGACTCCTGACCTAACCTGGCTTTAATGCAGAGGGAGCTGGTCGGATTTCTCGCTCATCCAGTTGTGTTTTTGTTATGTGCCGCCACAGACTGCCCGGGCACTGCACTTCCGCGCTTCCAAGTTCCGCCTTTTGCATTCCGTCAACATTACGTTATAAATTAAATATTTAGAAAATTGATTTTTGACGTTTGTAAATCGATTCAGAATCGTTCACGTCCGCATCGCGATGCATCTAAGAATTGATTTTTTCCCGCACCCCTAGTATCTGGTGTCTCCACCATTTGCCTGTCGCAGCATGACAATTATAGCAAACATGCTTTTTTCAATCAAACTGCTTCAAAATGGGAGCAAAACCAACAGTGCTGCATTTACATTTTTGTTCGGTATATATGTAAATGTCAAATGTGCACATAAGGACAGTAATGGCTCTAGACCTTCAAGAGTCCAATTTCTCCATATTTAATCAATATATTATTCTACTGGATTAGTATGAGACCAACCTGCTTGCGGGATCTCATGGCACACTCCTCCAGCGTCTCTGCTGCCTCCATCTTGCCCTGTCGGCGGTACAGAGCGCCCAGATTCCTCAGAGTGGTGTTCACAGTCGGGCTGAGGAAGAAAAACTTTACATTTTTAAAAGAGGACTCAAATAGGATTCCTAGAAGTTGCCCTATAACTAGGATGCCCAGTCCAGTCCTGGAGATCTACCACCCAGTAGATTTTAGAGTAAACACACCTGACTAATATTCAGATGCCCCTGAAAGCCTTCATTACCTGGATCAGGTGTGTTAGATTAAGGTTGGAGCTAAATCGTGCAGGGTGGTAGATCTCCACGATCAGTACTGAGCAGCTCTGCTCTGTGACAATCCAAAGGCATGTGAATCAAACAGAGCATTTTGGGAAAAGAGATAAAGTTATTAAAAAGCTGTTAATCTTGGATGTTTTTCCAAACACATTCAAGTTAAGACTGAGTGTTGTGATTTAAAGTGTGTGTGTAGTACCTGTTGACTTTGCAGGCTTTGTACCAGCCTCCGTACTCTCCATACGGGGTGTTGTCTCTGTGCTTGCCCTGGAAGTAAACCAAACCACAAAAGAGGTGTGAGTGGGTAAGGACCGGAGACAACCAAAAATACTCCAGACAACAAAGTTACTGTATGTTTTGAGAACATTTATTTATGCAGTTGATTATAGTTCCCGACAGCCTGAATCAGGATTTTTATGTCAGTGGAATCTTTTCTCCTATTTTCGTTTATGTTGCTGAGAATTGGAGCATATATTTTGTTGGCTTTTGCTGGGTCAGTCTTACTCAGCTACTCCTGAGCTTTTCAAGGCATACACGTGGCATGTGCCTCAAGACAGATTATTCTAATAATATTATCCTGAATATCTTGTGTAGAATTCGGACTGGCACACTTGCAAACAAAACTTACCTTGCTCATTTCCTCTCTCTCCTCAGCGTGCATCCAGATAGGCTTGTTCTCAGCTGTTGACAAAGAAAGGTGAGTGGCTCAGTGTATGAGATTAACCAACGCGCTCTGGGAGAGCAAGTTTGGGATGATTTTATTGGTAAAAGCTTTGTGGTAAACGTACCAGCAATGGTAAATTATAAGCAATTGTCATTTCCAGAAAGCTCAGAGCAACTTTCTTACGCAGTGATCCAGTGAATTTTATTGTCACATTTTAGATTAAAAAATGAAATATGCAACAGTAACTAAGAAATAAGAACTTTTTCAAATGAAAAAAGGCTCTGTACATGGAATGACTTCAACTGTCAAAACTGGTATTAAAATTTCCCTCAAAACTTGCTGAAAATGAAGCATTGTTGTTGTGTCTGCATAATGCAGTTAGACACTGGGAACTCTGAGCAAACAATTTGTGTAAAAAAAGAGAAGTTTAAAACATATCTTACATTATTTTAATATAAAATATGTGAACTTAGAACAGAGGATGCAGTTCACTGCAGGCAAATCAAGTAAGCAAGTTTCCAGTGTCCACATGTGGAAGAACTCATTCAGTCTGCAAAGAACTTCTACTAATGTTGCAAAATGGCAGGTATTGTTAACAGTACTTTAAAAAATTATTCAGAACTAAAAGGTGACCAGAAACTTTTCATTTTCAAACAAGTTTAATCAGAGACATTTCTTGAAAGATACATCCTCAGCTGTCTGGGCGTGTGTAGAGCCTTTTTGTGTTTAGAAAGCTGTCCATGTTTTAACTCTGTGTCCATCGCTGACTTTATTCACTGCTTTTGTTAAAGGTGAGTAAGAACAGGAGTGGATTATGGAGAGATTTCAACAGAAGAAGGAAAAAGGGGAATAAATAGAGGAGAACAAGATAATAGAGTAATTCATTATTGTATCATTCTATAGCAGCAACATGACCCCATCAATTACCTCAATTAGATTAAGAATGATCTGTCAGGGCGTTTCTGGTTCTGGAATACCCCTGCACTACTGAAATTGCTGTTTTCTCTACTCCCAAAACACTTGACTCGACTCAACTAATTAAGAAGTTCTCACTGAATTTAAAATGGGGGTTTTAGAGTAAGGAAAAAACCAACAAGTGCAATGCAGGGAGACTACAGGACCAGTACTGGAAAACAAAGGTTTGAGCTATTTTACGTTATTCTTATTATCCATTATGCAAAAAAGGCTTATAAAACTTTACTATCATAATCTTACCATCAACAGAACCAAACTCTTTCTCATGGGCACGGGTGAGAATCTCTTTGTACAGAACTTCAGCCTCCTTGTATTTTCCTTGTTTGAGAAAGCATGAAGCCTGTGAACAAAGTAGAGAAAATCGGAGACAGAACATATACTTCGTTACTACACACTGAAGGTCATTCAATAATAGTATGAATGCTAGGACTGTGAGCAATGCTTACACATTTGCTTTCCTGACATTTTGCACTGTGTAGTTTCAATAAACCTGCTCCAGTGTTCCTGATAAAGCTGTGTGCCTCTGACTCACGCCCACATGAAATGTGTGTGGCTGTTTGAATAGCTTGCAGTGAAAATTCTCACGAAGAATCAAATGAGCTAGTGGCCTTGTACATAGCTGAGATTCAGGAACGTATTACCTTTCATATACATAAGCACATCACTTTTTATTCACAGTTTGCTATAAGGCCAAATGATGAATTTAAGTGAGAGCATTTCAGATGTATTCAATGCCAGAAAAAAAAACTAATAAAACCCAATGAACTGGAAAAAACAGAATTGGCTTCTTAAGTTCTGAAGTTCTTGGCTGAAAGTATAACTTACTGAAGCTATGGTACTCACAACAGCTTAAACCGCACTCATGCTGTAATAAAGATGGCTATTTGGGTGAGTGAGTCAGTATATGGATCTACACAAGTATTAAAGGCATACAGGCTAGCTCACATTTAGCCTCTACAGAACATTTAACTCAAACTGCAGTTGATGAGCGATGACAACATGAACAAAAGAATACTGCAAAAGAAAACAGCATCCAAAAGTGACTAAGTACAGCTGCCAAAACATACATCCCCACTGGCACTTCTTAACAGAACTGATGCCAATCTGATACGGTGTGACCTTCAGTAATAATACAGCTCTCTAACAGCTTACTGCTGGCTTTCCAGGACTGCTTCAACATGTATCAAGTAAAATCTGGTTTGAAATGGCACCTCCCCACACAAACTCACCAGATTGTTCTTAGTTTTGGCAACATTGGGGTCGTCTGGGCCCAGTCTGCATTCATAAATCTCCAAAGCTCTGCAGTAGTAATACTCCACTTCCTCATACTTGCCCTGGTTCTGACACAGCAAGGCAAGGTTATTCAGCTGCTTGGCCACATCTGGATGGTCCTTCCCAAGCACCTGAAAGAGATAATGTGAGGCTTGTGTGAGCTTGTGAAGTATGCGAAGAATTGACCAATTGCTCACTATTATGAAAGCAATACTGGCAGAACTGGTAAATCTGACAACAAAACACTATCACCATTAAAAAAAAAATAAATAAACTACCTTACACACATGTCAAATAAATTCAAACTAGGCCTGGGCAATATCTAAAAATAATTAGCACAATATTTTCAAGTAAAAAAACTCTATTCTATTTTAGTTCATACACTTTATTAGCATTAACTGCTTTATTCAGAATCTTTAATACAACTCACATATTAAATAAGATACCGAGTAACCCAACATCTTTTGAGAATTACTTCATCTGTCATTACAATAAACGTTGCTGCAAACACATGCATTCATGAGCTTCTTCTGCTGCAGATTCGCTGTTTAATGATAAATTAGTTCTCTCTAGTTCTCTCTCAGTTCTTTTACCAAAACAGCGGTTACCGCCTTTTACACCATCGGGTTACTTGTCCATCATCAACGATCCAATTACATCGCCATATTGCCCAGGCGTAATTCAAACCTAACTTTTAGCTATTTGAGAATTGCTACTTGAGTCTGTTTAATTTTTGACCATAATAGATTAATACTGTCTTTGGAATTTTAAGCACCTTAAAAATCAGTAACACAAACAAAATGTTCACTTTCAGGCTCTGGTCAAAACACATTAAATCTTTGTAATGTTTAATACACTTCTTTTTGTGGTAATTCGAAAATGCTCAAAGGATTACATAGCAGAGTTTCTAATTCTGTTGTTTTAAAAATCAAGACAGCTCAGACTGAGAAAGGAGAAGTGTGCTGCAGGTTTCTGATTTCAGGGCCCCGTATGAGCTTCATTCCTCCCCGTCCTTCTGCTCCCTCCAGCAGCAGGCAGGCTAATGTGAGTAGGTGTAAGATTTCTGCTGTTTGCTCAGCATCGACATGATCTCATAAAGGCTGAATCAATATGAGAGGCTTCTGTACAGCTCTCTCAAGCCCTGAGCAATCACACTCACAGTGCCCGGTTCTTACGCTTCTATTCGTTCCACCATGTCAACATTTTGTGGGGAAAAAGGAGCAATGAATTTTCATTAGACAATTACATTAACCCTCCTAAATCCCTCTCAAGGAAAACACTGGCAGAAATTTGACAGAAGACATAAAGCGTGCAGATATATGTAAATGTGTTTTTGTTTTTGATTCTCCTTTTTTGAAACAAAATCGTATAATGAATGCTTTCACAAATTAAAATTCACATCCTCACAAATGACACCAGTTGTGGTTATGCATAACAAAACAACAAGTACTCTCCACAAATCTTGCTTAAAGAACAGTTTGCAATAATATTTTGATAGCTATAGCCATAAATAAGTCTTGCATGTACCTTCTCTCTGATCTCCAGGGCTCTCTTACACAGCGGCTCTGCCTCCTTATACTTGCCTCTCTTCCCATACAGCACAGCCAGGTTATTCAGAGTGGCAGCCACCTGCAGCACAGCATGCAGGAAGATAAATCAATGTTAATGCAGCCATATGTATGACAAGTGCAATAACTCACAGTCATGCCAGTGAGGTGCTGCCGAGCTGCCTGGGCTTAAAAAAATCTAATACAGTAGTTTCCAAATACATAGAATTAAAGCATTCCTGAAATATGACACTATAATAATGCAGATGCATTTTTGTGAGATCAATACACGGAATTCATACATGTAGATAAATATTTCGTTACTAGGTCATTAGCAAACAGCATTCAATATCAGCAGGCTGCACAAGGACATTACTTTTTACGGTCACCATTCTTAAAGGAATATGTTTAACTAAACACCCGCACAGCTAATTTTCATAGTGTGGAAAGATGAGGCTGGCTTTAGAGTCATAGAGATGTGCTGGATGATTTCACATCCAATTTCACGTTTCTTTACTGGAAAATCTCCTTAGAAGTAATGCACTGGATGGACAGCAGCCTGCATGGTGGAAAGAACAGAAGTCTACTAGAAACCTACAGCAGGATGGTCTTTGCCAAGAGTCTTCTCCCTGATAGACAGAGCATCGTTGAGCAGGTGTGCTGCCTCTTTGTATTTGTTCTGATCCCTGAGAGACAGAGAGGAAATGACATCTGTTACTTACTTGCTAGTGAGTAACTGAATTAAATAACTGATCCAAAATGGATACCTAAAAAATATTTCAGTGACAAAAAGAGGGACTTAAATCAAGTAGATGAGAAACAGTTCAAAATAGTTATATAAAAAAAAAGGTCCTAGTGAAAAATATGTACTGAAACAAAGAAAGGCTTCAAAAACAGCATTTGGTTTTCTCAAGCTATTGAAAAGCTAACCACTAAGCCCAATTATTTGAACCCATACAGCTTCAAATGTGAATGACTATGAATACGCAAAACAGCAAATGTAATATGCGTCTTAATCTCAGTCAGCAAGTCTTAAGGGGACAAACTATCGATACGAAATGTGTCATGGGTAAGCTTGTTGTTTCACTTTTACAAACGTAATTTAGTTGGCAGTTGAATTGAGTTATTAGATTACAGCTCCTGTTGTTAGTGCCTAGCCGTTAGCTGTTTTTATGTTTAGCTCTTCGTAAAGCTGCCTTGTGTTGGAGTGCTGTTAAAAACTAAGTGGATTATGTGACTGTGCTGTATTTAATTTTAGAAAAAAAATTGACCATCAGTGTGCATTGTGTATATAGTGTGTTTATAGTGTGTTTGGTCACTGTATCATATCACACTTGCATTGTGACATTGCCGTAACATGTACAGACTAAGAGTGGCACTAACCTGTACACCAGGGCAAGGATGTTAAGCATGGTAGCAACATCAGGGTGATCGTGACCTGAGGTTTTCTCCAGGTCTTCCAGAGCCTGCTTGCAAAGCGGCACAGCCACTTCGTAGCGGCCCTGAGAGGCATACTGGATCACCAGGTTGTGGAGGGTTCGGAGACGGGCTGGTATCTCATAGCCACCCTGCTGCGCTGCGGCCACAGCCGCACTGTTGTGCTGGTGCTGCACTATAGGGGATAAGACACACACAAGGTTCAGTCTGAGGAATCAGACACAGCAAAACTCAAACTGAGAACCATACACTTTCAGAAAGATGCTCATATGCTATGCTTCCAAACACACAAACGTCATTACCTTAATGACTTATATGTTACCGTACTTGATAATGTAGTTATCAATGTCTTTTAATTAAATCAGTGGATATGTGATGAAGTTGTTCACTTACTTCCTTGGGCATGTTCTTCTTCGTCATTAGGGAAAAGATCATCCAGTGAGTCCTTAGGTGGTTCACCATCTTTTTCCTCCTGGAACAGCAAAGGAAAGGAGAAAAGGGAGTGAGGAAAAAGAAGGCAATTTTGAGAAAAGACTTTTTTTTTTGAGTGCTGTTGTTTTGACAGTATGTCATAAAAACGGCCACACAGGACCTGTAACATTTTGGAAGCGGTCAGATTGTTAATGTTTGTCTCCTCAACAAAAGGAAATATGTACAATAAAATAATAAATACATAGTTGACAATGCACATTAGATAGAGTAGTCTATGGCATCAATAATATTCTCTCTAAAATTAAAGAATTATTTCTCCTTATTGTTTCCATTTCAGACATTTCACAACATTTCTGATCAGCAATATGAAACGCTACATTTCCAGAAAAGATTTGCTTTGGCAGCTTCTTACGGACTTTAAAATGGCAAAGCAAAGCTAAAAGGCTTTAAACAGGCACAGCAAGGGAGATTTGGCCCAGAAAATTTCCCCCAGAGGCTCTGCTTATACCAAAGTCCAGCGCTAAGGTCAGCAGCTCTTACTGCTTCTCTCCCTTCTAGCTTGAATAAGGCAAAGTGAGGACACAGGAGCAGGCGACTCAGCCCGATAACCTAATCTATCACAAGCTGCCCAAGCAAGCGTAAGGAAAACAGAATAATAGCTACTTTTCAGCCACTCTCTACAATGGGTAAGCAGGGTGGTTTGTTCAAATGTGATTTGTAAACTAGTGCGTGTCGTGGCATGTGCACCTCTTCATTGACTGCCATTTCATTCAGTGTCTTTTTGACCTTGATCTTTTAAACTGCTTAATAATGAAAATAAGCTTCTACCTTGTACACAGAAATAAAACGAAGAAAAACAAACATTTGTTCTCAAGTCACTCAAATGCAGTATTAAGGAAACATTACAGGTAACACTCTGCAACAGTGATTTGGAAATGAAGTCTGTAAGATTTATGTTCCCACACACAACAAAGATCTAAGGCATTTATCTCACTTACAGAGGGTGAGACATCTTCGTCATATTTCTTGAGCTGGTTCATGAACTCTAGGTGCTTTTTCTCTTCTTCCAGCTGAGCCACACTCTGTTCGCTCTTCTGCAGCTTCTGCTGTGTGTTGGCCAACTCGTCCCGCAGCCACTGGTTCTCTTGGCACAGCCGCCGCACCTGCGCCCGCAACTTCTGTTTCTCAGACTCCACCGCATTCAGATGGTTAGACAGGGCCATCATGACCTGCAAACAGGCACATGCACAAACACTGGGTTAGTGAGGTTAAGACAGAAAGAGAAAAAAGTACAGAGAGACAGAACTGTTTAAGATGGCTGACTAGCCTGACTGAATCACATTCACTCATCTTTTTTCCAAAAGCAAGTTCCTCATTCTATCTTTAGTGTTTAGCCAAAATAACTTCAGTTTCAGTATAATGTGTGTTACTAGTTTAGATGGAAACATTTATCCGATGACAACTGACTATTAAAGCTGTTTTGTAACTTAACTGCTTTCTTTGTTTCTCATTCCACCATCCTTGGACCTCTAATCCTCACAAAAAAAAAGATTCAGAAGTCCAGACTCACCTGTGCCTCCCCCAGGCCCAGTTCAATCATCTCTACAGATTTGCGGAGAAGGTTGGACTTCTCGTGAACAAGGTTGGCCTCCTCATCCTTCTTCAGGCACTTGATGGTCTCCAGCAGACTGTGCAGGATAGAGTTGTGCTCACTCTTCAGTGCCTCTAGGCCCTGGATCACTAGCTTAGTGTTTGAGATGATCTCCTCCTGTGACAGCTTCTCTAGCTTCTCTTCACGAGGATACACCATTGTGGACATCTTCTACCAGAGGTGTCACCTGAGGGGGCATAGACATGAGAGAGGTGACATGAGCTAGATGAGCCAGCAAGTTGGATTTTTTGACAAAAGCTGAAGAGATCAAGCACATCTAAACTCTTCTGAAACAAAGGTCAACTAATTTTAATATTTGATTAACCTACTAAAATCTCATGATTCATCTGCACAAAATCCAAAGACATACAGGCATAGCTAGTCGATTAACTGGCCCGCAAATGTCTCTGACAAATAACGTATAGTTCCAATGAAACGATCATACTGTGGCCTCAATTAACTAATAATGTAGTCTGAATCCCTATATTAGGAATGACCGTAATAGAATGAGTGCAGTGGTAACTTTTGACCTCCTTATGAGCCCTGAGGAAAAGCTGACACACATTATGTTGCCATATTGCACTAAAATTTAGAGCTATAAACTAATTAAGCCTACATGACTTGAGGACAAGAGAAAAGACTGATGGACCCCCTGATGAGAATTCATTATTAACCTTCAATTCTAAAACAGCTTGTCGGGTTAAACAACGACATTCAAACAAATCACTGATGTGAGTAATTTACTATGACAACTGAGACAGTCTTTTCATGATCTCATTAAAGCGTTTAGACCATGGGAGGCAACTGAGCCCAAACGTGTGCTTGCTTTAAATTATATGCTCTTTCTAGCGTACTACTGTTCCTCTAAGCACGAAATATTTGGCTGCGGAGTTTTTCAGCTGCTGCTAATGAGCATGTGTAGGTAGGGCTGGGCTGCAAGAATAAATGCACAGGCAGAGGCTATTTAAGGTTCTAGTTCTATAGAACATGTGCAATATGCAGACAAGGGCAGTCTGAACTGGAATAGGCAAACAATGGAAAAAGTAAATGGACAATCACTAGCCCACTAAGATTGTATGCAGTATAAGTCCAGTTTATACTAAAATATATGCCCAATCTCCACGCACCTCAAAACAACTTTAGTGCAGGAAATTATGACAGGATTTTGTATCTATCATTTTTGCTATAGATACAGAATAATGCCAGACTACATGACACTAACAATATCCAATCATTAGCCAAACCATTTCACATGTAGCAGTCTAGGCAGCGCTGAAGAAAACCATTTGATTAAAAGTGTTACACTTTCCCAAAGACATAATGATGAATGATAATGCCACCTACTAATACCAAATCAGTTTCCTTTACACCCCTGCATGAACCCACACCACCATGTGCAGTTCTTTGATGCAGATTAGAATCGACAGAGCTGGAAGGGGAAAACGAGAGCAGGTCTGAACACACAACACCAGCTGAGGACCATCTGCCCTCAGACACATTCACTCCATGCAATTTTCAACAGAGCTACAATATTCTCCCCTCTTTCTCTCTCGGCTCTGATTTATGACTGCGCCACACCCTCCTGTAGATTCAGCTCCCTCCGCCAATAAAATCACTGTCACAGAAACACAGACAGCAGGGCTACAAACAAAACTGAGGGTTCAGGACAAGTCAAAGATATGTCTGTTCAGCAGCAGAAGAAAGGAGTCACTCATGTGATCCCTGTCCAGCTTAAAAGTATCACATTCTTTATAGTGACAGGCACTGTCAACCCAGAAATAGCTTGACTCTGCTAAGAATGATGCCAGTATAAGCAGAGATTGTTGCGCATCATCACGCTTCTTGATGGTGGGTTGAATTTCCTGCCAGTAGGATGCTTGTGCTTTTAATTGGCACATCAAGTGTACTGACGCAGAACATCTCCCCGCTCATAATGATCCCACTCAAGTTACTGTCACACACATCATTACCAACACAGCTAAAATGGCTGTGAACTGATCTTTGACTTTTACCATATAATCATGGCCCCAGGCTTGTTCTTATGGGGAACATCTAATTTGCTCTGTTGTATTGATGAATACTATTTTTGTTGTATTAATGAATAATATTTTTTGATTTTCAAATTTATCAAATGAGTGTTAAGCGCACAAGTAAACCAGGGTTGCCAACTCTAATAGTTTTGGTGTGAGACTCACGATTTTGGGTCTTTTCTGAAGCTCTCACACTGTGCAATCAAATCTTTAACCAGCTAGCCAACCAATGAAGCTAGCCAACTCAGAACAAACCTGAAGTGCTACTATTTATGTTGTATCCGCAGGAACACATTCTAATGGCCGTTATATCATGGCCTAATGAAAACTGAATGGCTGTATCTTCCGCAGCTCCGCCTTTTTATGTCACCAGAGTGAGCAGTGCAGAGTTGTGCGATTCTGCCTGGAGCAAGGAGCATCTCTCTCTCTCTCTCTCTCTCTCATGAGCACAACACATGTTAAGCTCCACAGTTCAGATACAGATGCGCTCAAGTTTCCGTTTGGTTGAACATTGGATCTGCCAATAGTACTCAAAAAAAACTAGAGATTATTTATTACTTCCTGGAAAAATGTAATCTCATTATTCACTATTTAACTTATTTAACTCTCTAAAACCCACATGAGTCTGTACCAGTTATAAAGTATGAAGGAGAATTTATTTCAGTACTTAGAAATAGCCAAGCTACAGCAATAGTTATGCTTGATTAAAATTATAAATGGCTGATGCTTTTTAAAAACATAGAAACTAGCCAACAGAAACAGTGCAAAAACAGGTGCCTCAAAATATACATTTTGTTCTAACCCATCTTGCCACATATTTAGGCTAGGTATAATCTTAAAGGCTTGGTTCAGGGATTTTTGGAACTATGAGATCCATGGGTCTACATGCTAATGACTATATTATCTAGATTGGTGTTTTATGCAGGCTAACACTGGATACACATTTGTGCATGCAAAACTGCTAAACCCTGCATTACCTTTAGTTTGCATCAGTAATGTGAGGAGACAAACCATCAGAGAATATCAGAGCTTCAATTTTTCCAGAATTTGTCACGGTTGTCCACAGTGATGTTCCTTCACCAAAGACCTTCACTAAAAGGAATTAAAAGAGATGACAATAGTGGACCAAATATGTCCGGTAAGCTATCCCACAAACTGCTGAATTATCTGTGGCCATGATTATCAAAATAAATAAAAGATGACTTGACAGTGATATGCACTTAATTTAAGATTCAGACTAATGAATTCACAAAGCCTTCTAAAACGTTTAGTGGTGTTGGGAAGAAGCAGAGAATCATCATGACACTGCCTCGCTGGAATAAACTCCAGGCGTAATGCAGAGCTCATTCAGGAAGGAACAGGTTCGCAGATAAACATCTCCTTCAGCTACAGCTCTCCACTGGGGGGACGGAAAAGACTCTAACATACTCGTCTGACATGGGCAAGGGAGGAAGTTTCTACTGATTTGATGAAAGAGAGGAAGAGAATTCTACAGTTATATGTGGCAATTTCTAATCAACTTTGAAATCCTGTCTGGCCACAAAAATAAAGGGTAAAGCCCCTTTAAAAACATTGCTGTGTGCTCTCTTTGAAGTCTAGCAAGAAGCAGCAGTCATTAGGAAAGAATTGGGCTTCGAATGAAAAAACATAAAAATATAATACCTGTACAAAAAGAGCGTGTGTTTGAAATAAAGCCCAGTAAAGTCTTATGCACAGTGGACAAATTAGGTTATCAAATTAAGATACAGTGAAATAAGAAGCTTAATGTTCAGATATGGATAAGAAAAATATAACTATTTACATAAGTATTTCAAAAAGAGGCAAGGAAACATGGGAGAAGTTATTTATCATACTTGGTCATCCAACAAAAAGCAAAACATTGAGAAATACACAGAACACTACCCTGCCTAAAGACAGCATCAGCAATTTAGCTATGGGACCAAACTATAACACATTTAAGACACCAGCTTAAGGAAATGTTTTACAACACACAACACAAATGTGCAAGTTAGCCGTACAGAATAAGATAAATCAGAAACGATAGAACAGTCACAGTAAAGCCTGGTACAAATCTAACTGACACACTAAACATAAGTGAATAGAGTGACTTGTCTTTCAGCTTTCAAAATTCACTGGGGTCCTCTTAAATGCGTGGAACTTCTGTGTACGTGTATGCAGGTAATGTTTACACAAACCATACCATCCGCCTTATCTACAAGATGCATTCCTGAATTCGCAGTGTCGAGTGCATGAAGTGTTTAACGTGGCATCAAAGGCTCTTCTCCATATCCTATGCTAATACTTGCGGGGAAAATAAGCTCTCTCCGTGATCAGAGGTGTCGGCAAATCTGACAGGGACTGCTACTGTGTCCTGCCACTCACTGAGCTTTGAGCTGTGGCAGGCAAAGGAAGCTTAATGTCAACACAAACAAAGGGTAGCTGACTAACAGCAACCATCTCAAACAGCTAATGCAGGAGAGATGAATGTATTACTGACCATACAGTTAGTACCTGCTCAGAGCTGGTTCTGAAGGTCAGAGCGAGTACTGGAAGAAACTACACAGCAGCAATGAATAAACAGAGCTTTATCAAATATTCAACACAGTGAATTAACCTACAGTTTGTTCACAATTTGTCCATGGTGGAGGCCAAACCTGTTACATTATTTATGCTACTTGTTACGGAAGACTTTTCCAGATCTGGATTGCTCATGCAGACACACACGCCTTTATCTAATAAACATTTGTTAAACAATAAATATTCATGCATCCTAAGGCATCTTGAGTGTCCCTGTCAAACCTACAAACTCACAGTCTCTCTCTTCTTTTGTGAGGGAGATGAATCTGTTTAGCAAAAAGGAAACAATATTGTACCTTTGAAATGAGAGATATCCTGTGAGGTTTAAAGAGCAAGATCACAACAAAAAACAGAAAATAACCACAAAAGGGAAAATAAATTTTGACATCCTCACTGCAGAAACTTCAATGCCATCCTTGCACAGCAAGAAACCCGACATCGCTTTGAATGCTTTCTTAAGTAGTTAAACAGACAAACACATCAAAGTAACCCAGTAATCTTTATGTGGTCTTTTAAAAAATTAAAAGCTCTTTTTAACTGCAAATTTTGGTCAAGTTTGCCTCTAACAGTCAGAGTCATT